ATCTGGTCATATTTAATTATAGTTGTATCTGGTTGGCTGGTTTGAACAAGTTTAAACATCCAGCCTAACTAATACGATTTGACAAACTTAAGCCAATAAAATAAATTGAGCACAACTCAATCCAATTGTACAGATGAAGTTGGTCAGGTTGAAAAAGGTTAACCAATTGTTTGTCATGGTCATATAATGAAAGGCAGCAGTAACATATCTAACCATATATGCATAAAATGAAAAAAGATGTGTACATTAATATATGTTATTGCATCCAAATCCATTTAAATGATGTAATTAAATAAAAAATGTTCTACATAAAATAAGTTTATTTTAGTCGATAAAGTTTAACATATGATATCTTTTTTATAATAATATTTTTTAAATGAATTTAATCAACATAAAAATTACTTAATCTGATATTTAAAATGTTTTCTAGTAATAAAAAAATTCATATGCATTAAAATTAATTAAAGTGATGGTAAATTTTAGTCGATAATTATTATCAGAAAATAAAAAGTCCAAGGGGTATTTGTTAAAGGAAATATAAATTTGTAGGGCATATGAAAATGTGAGGGAAGCACAATATGTAGAGGCAACACGAGACACGGGAATACTTCTGCTCCCCATTTTCTCGGGTTAGATCTTTCTAGAACATCATTATCGGCTTTAATTATTTTTTATTTTTTTGTCACATTTGTGTTTTTATTCAATCTTCAATAATTATTATCATTTTATTAAAAAAAAAATAATCAAGTTGTTTTCTGTTATCCTCGCTAATCCCTTGATTATTTTGACTTGTGATTTTTTATATTTAATTATCGGATTATTTTAAATTGAATAAGTCTTTGAAAAAAAAATACTCTTTTTAGAAAAAATATTAGTTTTTAATCAAATAATTAATTAATCATCCTTAAAAGCTCAATCCAAAAATACATCTAAACATCTATTTATTTGTGTAGTTCATATAAGATTGAATTCACTATTTAATTACCTAATGTATATTTTTATTTGAATCAGAAAAAATATTTTATGTTGATAATTTTAATTAAATTCACTAACAATTAATCTAACGATTGATAATTTTATGTGAACCTCAATATGTGTGTGTGTGTGTGTGTGCGCGCGCATGTATGCGTACGTGTAAACATATGTAATGTATGTTTTTTTTAAAGAAAATACATTGTATATCTATACAATATTATAAAGCATTTGACAAAAACTTCTTAAAAACCATGTTTTATGCATGAAGTATTGTTTATTGATGCATATTACTTAAAATTCAATAATACAAGTAAAGTGTACGTAAGTACAACTTATTAAAGTTTCATGTAACTAACTGAAAATAAACATAATTAAATAAAGGATAAATATTTCATTTTAAATATAAAAAAATCTAAAATATAATTAGAATAGTCATTAGCTTTTAACAACATACTTAATTATTATCTATTAAAAAATTATATTATTAAATCAAAAATAAAAATTAAAGAAATAAACAAAAAAAAAAGAAATTTTAAATAGTTAGTTTAGTATTAATATAAAAAAAAATTCAAACTTTTTTTTTATCATATCTTCATATTTATTATTTTATTTAAAAATAAAAACATTACACTTTCTCAAAACCATATTATAACATCGATTTAGATAAAAAAAACGAAACATTAAAATCGAGATATATCTCGCTACATTGTGCGAGTACCCTTCTAGTATTAAAATAAAACTTAAAGTATAACAATTAATTAATTTAATAAACTCAAAGTATATAAATATTTAGTTTTATTTTTTAGACTTAATTGCAGATTTGGTCCTTATGGTTTGTATGTTTTTACGGAAAAAAAGGAAAATGACAAAAATGCTCTTAATGTTAACGAAGGAACTGAATGGCCATTAAAAGAATGGATCAATTCGTTACAAAATGACATACAACAAGTCTTAATCTATGATAAATGAAGCTTAAAAAATTCTTTTGTAAAAACCACCAAACTACAAGGACTAAATCCGTAATTTACTCTAAAACTTAATTCTCTTTTGAACCACATCTCATATTTTACCTTTTTATTCAATGTTTAAGTTTAAGTTTTGTTTATTATATTTTATGTTTTTTTAAACTTTTATTATTAAAATATTATTCTTATACGATTTTTTATATTTTTATTAACTTATGTAATTTATTATATATTGATAATAAATAATAATATAGAAAAGGGATAAAATACAAATTGGAAATTATATAGACTTTTTATTTTGTGTAAATTTTATTTGTTTTGACGAAAACTTTATAATGATATATTTTGTTATAAAAATAATTATTTTATTATAATTTATAAATTACATAAATCAATCAAAATATATAAACAATTCATTATGAATAAATTGATCATTTTACTTGTTTTGTTTAGTTCGTCAGCTGTTCTGTCTTGTTCAATTATGTGTTATCAAACGCTGAACAACTGTCTTATCATGTCATGTTATGTCTTATCCAATCTAAACACCAAATGCACCCTTTAGGGGTTGTTTACCAAAAGCTTACCAAAGTAAGCATTTACCGTAAAATTCAATATTATCACCTACTCATCAGGTAAGATTTTAGTCAATAAAAATCTTATCGTATGCAACAATTTACCTGCTAAGCGCTAATTGTGGTAAGAGTCATCGTCCTCACTTTTCGTGTAAGACTGTCAATCGTTGCATCGTTCTTACCGGATAAGATTATTGGTCTTGTTATATTCATCCGATAATGTAATGTAATTTGGTAAGCGCTTACCCGGTAAGCATTTAGTAAATGGTCCCTTAGTCACATGATATAATAACTTTAAATTTTCACAAAATTCTGATGTCACACTTCATTATGTGCCATATGTCATTCATATTCACTAAGCAAGCCAACATAATGTTTATCATTCTTGCTTAAACCAGTAAAATATCGTTCTTTATACTCCAAAGAAAAAGTACTCTAACATGTGAAAATTCAAATTTCATATAATATAATAATTGATAAATAAATCTTTTTTTTTTTTCGCAACAAACAACTTGTTGTGTAAAGACTTCAAAATTTAGTATCATTTGTCTGAAATATAACATTATCCCTAAAGGATGAATGGACGTTGTTTTTATAAACCCCCTCCTACATGCATGCCAAACTGAAGTATTCTTCTTTTACATTTTTAATGTATTGATTTATTTTAAATGAAGTTGTTTACTGATGCTCAAACTAATCTTTTTCTAATTTTTCATATTATATGAGGATTAAATTTCGTACATATATCAAATCATTAGGCCTTCGAGATTACATTAAATCTAGCAAATAACCATACAAATTGCAACCGGAATTCCAAATACAACAGTTGTATTAACCACAAACGTACCAAGGTTGAGTTAATAGAATGTTTTATATTTTATTAGTTCTTATTTTATTTTTAAATAGAAAAAACAAAAGAATGGACCAAAAATCAAACTGCTCTTGAGTTAACAGAAGTTTTTATAGAGAAAATGGTCCTTTTGTATAGTTATTTTATTTTTTAAGGACGCATAAGATGATTTTAAGCAAACCACAAGGACCAAATATGTAACTTACTCTAAGATATAGAGATTTAAAAGCATCTCCAACAAAATGGTGGCTTTGTTATATATTTTGTTTTATTAGATTTTGTATATTCTTTTTAAAAAATGAATTTTTTGATTCTAAAATCGTTGTAGAAAGTGAGAGAAATGATTTTTTTTTATCATTTATATTTATCAATGAGATTAAATTATTATCATTTTATCTAAAAAAATTTAAAATGATCTTAATTTAAATTTTTTTTAAATAGAGAGTTTATGAAAATTAATATATTTTATACTATATTATAAAGCATTTAACAAAAAAAACTCTTAAAAACCAATTTTATGCATAAAGTATTGTTTATTGTTGCATATTACTTAAAATTCAAGATTACAAGTAAATTGTGTATAAGTACAACTTATTAAAGGTTTATGTTTGAATTCGT